CGGCCGAAACTTGCATAGTGTGTGCCGCTGTTGACACCCTTTCTATCAGCATCCCTCAATCAGCTGATCGAAGGAGTCGGTCGGAAAATCTTTGACCGATCAGAGCTGGCAGGCAATGAGCTGCCCGCTCTGGTCGGGTATTTTGACTGGGGCCGGCGGCTCCTGTCAGAATAGAATGTAAACAGTGGGATTCCTCGACAAAATTGATGTGTTGAAGGAATCGGGTCTATTTTTTTCATTCAGCCCGTGGGTTGAACGAAAAAAAAAAAAAAATAGTTCAGCGTATGGCCAGCCTTAGAGATGCTTGAATTGGTTGCATCACTTGACAGTAAAGGGGTCCCTATATGAGCACTAACTAGCATGCATAGTCATACAAAATGCACAACAAAAATATTAACACAGCTATAGGATTCCTTTTTTTGTCACAGGAAACGCAGCAACTCTTTTTCTACTGTGCATTTAACTGGACCCAATGCCTGCGTTAGGCAAATAGTAAAACAAGTGATATAAAAACTGGTTATGGAGGAAGGCATCTTTTCTGTACAAGGCATATGGCAATTACATGGAGAACAGACTATTCCAGGGGTAGGCAACCGCAGCACTCCAGCTGTGGTGAAACTACAAATTCCATCATGCTTCTGCCTCTGGGAGTCATGCCTGTTACAGTTAAGAGTCTTGCAGTGCCTTATGGGACTTGTAGTTACACAAGAGCTGGAGTGTTGAGGTTGCCTACCTCCTTGACTATTAGTTTGCTTTGCAGATCGATAGTTTCCACCTCAGAGGCTCGAATACAAAAAGTATGTGACTGAAGGGTCTGTGCCTTGTACGCACTGGCTTCTGTTTCTATAAGGGCAGTGTGTACAACAAGCTTTTACATTTAGAGTTTGCAAAGCTTTTAGCCATCTTGATAACTTATCAAATCCACCCCAGCCAGGCCGCCGGAGGCGGCCACCCCACTGCAAGGGGGTAATGGGGATAGATCAGCAGCAGGGAGCCCACAGGGGCAGCTTACAGAGTTCAGTTCCCCTATAGGCAGCTATATAAAGCTGCCAAAAGCAGGGATCTCAAGTCTCCCTGATGTTCAGGGAGTCTCCCTCTTTTGGACAGCAGCTCCCTGATGTCCGCAAGAGAGGCATTTTCTCCCAGAAAGGTTTACTCTGAGTAAACCTTTCCGGTAAGATATCAGTGAGTAAAGTTTCAGAGTGAGGCTTGCCTCCTGGAGGAAGGTCATGTGATCTCTAGAGTAGCCTCAAAACGAGGCTTGGCTCTCGGAAGGAAGAAGCTACTTGCTGCACAGAGAGGGCGGACATAGACCACTATTGAGAGCAGGTACAGGCACTGAGATCTACTGCTGCAGGGTTGAGAGAGTGCTGTTATATGTCCTGGTTGTCTAGTTATAGAGAACATTTATTTCATTTGCTGCCCATAGCAACTAGTCAACTGTGTATCGAGGACTTTACTCCTCAGCATTTTTTTTAAAAAGGTTTTGGGCTGTCTAATAAATTGTGACCTTTACACTGACAGATACTTGACCAATTCACAAATCGGATGTATATATAAATAAATATATAATATTATTGGTATAGGGGTTGTGTGTGTGTGTGTGTGTGTGTGTGTAATCATTATTATTTCTTTTATATTCTGACGACGGCCGCTGTAAAAAAACAACCCAAAAAACACAGGGCACCTCCCTGAAATGAGACGGGAACCTCCCTGAAATAAGGTTTTGCAGGTTGGGATGTCTGCAAAAGGGGTCTACAAGTTTTATTTTTAAACGCATTTCATTTAGTTGTGAAGGAAGAGCAGCCTAAAGAAAAACTCCAGAAAAATTACAAATGTGCTCTTGCAGTGGGGCTACCCCAGCATTGCAAGGGTTAAGTGCTCATTTTGCCTAGAGGGCTCAAATGAAGCAGATATACTTGCCTGATCCTCGGTCCTGTGGCGGTCAGCACTCACCTCTTCCCCTCCGCTATGGCTGGAGAATGTCTCTTGGTGTCCTCACATCTAATGTAGGTTAACGGCCCTACATACGACGTGATGACCTCAGCGATACTACCACCACCAGAGCACAGGGGAAAAGAAGCTGCAAAGACCAGTCTAGCAGCCCAGAGGGAGCTAGCCAGGCTGAGGATCAAGTAAACCTACCAGATAAAATTCTTGGCAGCAAGGGGGTAAAGGACCTATAATCACCATCTTTTTTAAGGTAAACATGAAATGATAAATTATTGTATGGCAACATTAAAAAAATAAACTCCTGTATAGTTGTCAATTACACAGGTACCTGGGGGCAGTTACATTGGTGCATGACAAAAGATATTAAGACTCTATGCAGTCCCTATTGAAGTGAAACACTCACAATGTCCAGAGACCACGTCACGTCAACGCGGAGTTGAGAACATGTTAAATATTAATGGCAGGACAGTTATTTCTGCCTCAGCTTTGATTATTTTAGGACAGGTCCTTTGTATACATGATCATTGCTTTCCCACGCAGGAAGTTGAGGAAAACCTAAAAGTGGACCAGTCATTAAACTTACAAGACAGGATGAATACATTCCAGACATTTCTCAATATAAAGCAGAAGTCTTTTTTTTACATAAAAGATTACTTAAAGTGCAGTCCCTGAGCTCCAGGCAGTGACTTTGTCCAGGCTGAGTCAATGTCATTCATCTGCTGCAGTCCGAGGGAAAGCCTTTCCTCTGTCTCCTGACCCCCAGTGATCGAACTGCAATATTATAACTCTGTAGTAAGTCACAAGGCGAGAGGCTGCAGCACGGGCCGATCTGAGGAACACAGCCAGGGCACCAGGATTGACACGATTGTGTCATATCTGAGGCAGCATCTCAGGCAAGGGAGTAGATGCCCAACCTAAAATTATACCTAAACAAAGATGGCTTGACCCTTCAAGAGAGAAGCAGATGAAGGCATGGTCAGAGGGAGTATTATACCTCTGTGAGAAATAATAAATACCTGTATGTTGTATTCCAGGGGTAGGCAACCTCAAAGAAGGAATACTGTGATCTCAGCAAGCTGTAATAGCTACCTGTATGGGTTATGCCAGGGGTAGGCAACCTTGGCATGCCAGCTGTGGTAAAGCTACAAAATTCCATCATGCCTTTGGGAGTGATGCCTGTAGCTGTCAGAGTCTTGCAATGCCTCATGGGACTTATTTCACAACAGCTGGCGTGCCAATGTTACCTACTCCTGTGGTATGCCGACACATTCCTCAACATAAAAATCCCAAATCCAAGGATAGGCCTTTTTGGGGAACCCCCCCGCACTTCCATATTTTTCACCTCAACAAGAACAACGTCCCCCAGCTCCATGTGGCCTACTGGGAAACCATATCATGTACCTCAGGAGGCTTCAGAGCAAACTCCAGAACTCCAGCATATGCACTGCGTCATTAGGGCCTGGTGGTCTCTTCCTAGTTCTTGCAACCTACCCCGTGATGGCGCACATGTATGGCGGGGCATCATCAAGGGGAAGCTATAAGAACCAGAAAGAACGCCAGCTCCCAAATGACGTTAGAGAGGAAGATGGTGGAGCGGGTGAACAGCAGCAGAGCGGTGGGCTACTGTAGAGTGGCGCTAGCTTTGCTAACCGTGCAAATATAATAAAGGGTAACCCCCCAAAAAGTAAAAAAACTTTAAAGCTGGCCACAAAAATGTATAATGTCCTGACATTACTGTGCACCACGTCAGACATTTTGATCTGCATTCTGGTTCAGAGTTAGTCACTTCAAATAATGAAGCCGGATGGTCAGCATGACAGCGAGGGCAGAGGTCACCAATGGCAACATCCACGTTCCAGTCAGGAAACATTGCCAAGTAAAAACCGCCTACGTATAACTACCACCTCCAAGTCTTGGAAAAAATGTCAGGTAAAAACTCAAATTTTCCTGGTCATATCCTGTCAGCCATTTGCGGCATGGGCAGGTGAGGCAAGGCGCCAGTGGCACGGGCAGGTGAGGAAATCAGGTAGTGACACGGGCACGTAAAGCAAATTAATATGTAGACAACGGGCCCCCCATGAAACGTCACACCGGCCGGATCGCCAAAACTAAACCTGCACCAACCTAAACTTCTCACAAAGTTTCAGCACACGAGCGGTGACTACACCATTTCTCACAAGCCGAGTTTTCACGTGCACGGTGCGACCTATAATTACTGAAAACGTGACTGAGTCACCCTCACAGTAGTGCATCATAAATGCGAAATAGAAAAAAAAAATACACACCATTGTCTTTTAATATACAAGATAAACATTGGCGCCCTGTCAGCAAGGGCGCCGACAGACTAAAGACAAATAAAGTTTATATTAAGAATGAGCTCCTTTATTCTTCACTCTATAGGCTACCAGAGCCATTACTATGCAACTTCTCTAAATATCACTCAGTATCATGAGGCAAGGAGTCAATATTGAGGGAAGAAAACGTGTTAAATGTGGTTATTTTTCAACAAAAGGAGTATTTGTGGTGAGGTGCTGCAGACAGCCCAGGCCTCAAGCAGCAGCCATGTCAGCCCTGCAGCCCAGGCCTGACACACACACACTGCCTCACTCACACAGACACAGCGAGAGGAGAGAAAAAAAGAAAATGGCGCAGAGACTAAGTCCCCACCGCCTGAAAGCCGACTTTCAGGCGGGCAAAACCGAGTCAAAACGAGGTCTGAGAATCCCGGGGACGTCGGCAAACGGGAGATCGGTTCGGTCTGAAGGGAAATAGGGGGTTTTTGGCCGGTTATCGGCCACAGTGGGCCAGATGGAAGGCTCTGGAGGTGAACAAAGGAGCCGGTGAGCGAGCAGACGGGACTTAGTCTCTGGACGCCATGTCTGCCCTTTCTAGAGGAGGAAGGAGAGTGAGGAGAAGGAGGAGGGGGGGGGGGAAGGGAGAGACTGAGAGAGGAAAAACAGGGGGGCCCACACCCTAAATCACACACACTACACCCCCAAATGTACCTTATAAACCCGGCTACCCACCGACATTAACCCAGTACTCACCGTTCGCTCGAAAATTCGGGTCAATCTAAAGGAAAATAGGTGAAACAGAAAGAGGAATCAGAATATGGGGGAGCTTTTAAATTAAAACAAAGGGGGTTCTGCTTTACATTCCGCAAAATAAAACACTTTAAAGGGTTAACAAAGCAGTGCTAAGCAGAAGGGGGTTAATGGGCAGCTTGCTGGTGGAGATCAACACCCTCAATAAGGGGGATCCCCCATAATAAGTGATCATCTGATCCGATATGTGATATGATCAGCTTACCTGTGAGTCGTTTTGACTGTTATCTCCACTCATCCTTCACCAGGTACAGAAGGTGGGGGGATGTCAATGAATGAATGAGGGGTGCCGGTAGTAAGGGGGGGATGTCGAGCACAGAAGGCTTTGGGGCGATTTGAGCAGTGTGGATCGCTCCCGTATTGTGTGGATGGGGAATGGGGGTAGGAAGGAGCAGGATACAGCCAAGAGAAGCAACAGCAAAATGAGAGTGGGCAGAGACACACAGCGGATTGTGTAACAGCTAAGTCCCGATTTAGCCCTACTGCGCAGGCGCATCTGATTTAAAAGGACCGGGAGGAGCGACGGCCGAGCAGGAGGCCACGCCTCTTCCGTTATTGAGCTGCTGTGCGAGTTCACTCCCGGCGGCTCGGGGATCACGCTGGGCTGATGTGCTGAGCAGGCGGTTACTGTAGTGATCGCGTCCTTGGGACATCGGCATCCGCCATACTTCATAAATGATCCTCTTTTTGACCTGAATGCCTGATTACAACATAGCTGTCATTCCTTCAGACCGGATGTATAGACCTATATAAATAAATCTGCTGATTACCTACTGGATGTGTTTTTATTGCTCAGGGATGATTCACAGCTATGTATTTTATGGGGATGCATGTTACATGCAATGATGCATTGCAGTTCCATTCATTTAGAATGCCCCCCCCCCCAACACACTTAAAGTGATATTAAAGTCAAAAAGTGTTTAAGTTTTTCTGCAAATGCTGATTAAATCACTAAAGCTGGCCATACACTGCTCAATTTTTTTCATTCATCCAGTGGGCTGAACAAAAGAAATAAAGCTGATTTCTCCATCAACACTAACAGCGTGTCTATCGAGGAATCCCCACTCTTTACATTGTATTCTGACAGCGGCCGACGGCCCTTGTCAGAATACCGGAATAGAGCGGGCAGCTCATCGCCTGCCGGCTCTTAACTGTTTGCATTGTATTCTGACAGCGGCCAGCGGCCCCTGTCAGACTACCAAAATAGAGCCGGCGGCTCAATGGCTGCCGGCTCTGAATGTATCAAGATTTTCCAGCCGGCTGCTTCTCAGCTGATCGAGGGATGCCGGTGTTCTATCGGAAGCTCCAACTCATGGAGATCTCCAACTGCCTGACTTCCGGTTTAGTTAGAACTAAGAGGTTTGGCCAAGAAGGCTGTACTGCACGTGCGCCACCCGCAGCATTTCCCTGTACACATACTAAACAGCAATAAAGTATTCAAATGAACTAGGGTCACAGTAATCCAGCACTTTGTTAGTCTGAGTTGCCCCACTCAATATGGCCACCGCTTGAGCGGGGCAACTAAGATTAATAACGTGCTGGATTAGTGTGATCCTAGTTCATTTTAATACTTTATTGCTGTATTGTATGCAGGGGCGGACTGGGCCGGGGGGCAGGGTGGCAATTGCCCATTTTTTTAATAAATTCTTTATTTATGATTTTTTCAAAATGGTAGACAGATAATCAATAAAAAAAAATATAGATAAGCAGCGTATAGATTATACATAAGGCTTTTTAGGAAAATACGCAAGGAATAGTCGGCTAAAATGGGGTCGGTTTTCAGCATCGGAAATCTCACATCCTGTCAACATTAACTAGCGAAGTTTGCCCCTGCATACCATATACAGATCTGTGAGCACTAGACGCTCGCATCTCCACCCCAGTTAGGTAGAGTGTCAGCCTGAAATGACCATGTTTTGATCATCACACACCCCCTAGTAGGGTAGCATATTCAGGGGATGCAGTGAATGTTGTCCAGTAGAACCAGGTGCGGTTGAACTGAGTAGTCCTGTGATGCAGGAGATATTCAGCCGGATCGGACCCCAAACTAACCCCCGTTAACGTATGGCAAATCTCCGCTACCTTACCCCAGAAGTCCCTAAGCTTAGGGCACGACCAAAATACATGCAGCAGTGATCCTTCCTGCGTCTGGCAACGCCAACAGAGTGGTGAGCACTGTGGGAACATTTTATGGAGGGTTGTCGGGACTCTATACCATCTTGATAGGATTTTAAAACCCGTTTCCTGTATATTGCTGGAGATAGATGCTTTATGTGTCAGCTGGAAGATCCTATCAACTTGGTGTGGGGTGAAAGTTGTTCTCAGATCCTTTTCCCATTTTGAAATATACACCGGCTGGGAGAGACCCGGTGGGTCACAGAGCAGTTGGTACGATACTGACAGTCCATGGCGGGTAGGGCCCTCCATTAGACAGCACTCCTCGAATGGCGTCAGCGGAGGCGCAGCCTGTGGGTCCAGCCTGCCCGAAAATGGAGCACTCGGAAGCTGCCTGATCGTACCAAACAGCCGACCTATTTGTCATGCAAACCTCTCAGTTCTAACTGAACCGGAAGTCAGGCAGTTGGAGATCTCGAGGAGTTGGAGCTTCCGATAGAACACCGGCCGAAAAGGGCTCCGACAGCAGTACAGCACACACGGTGCGAATTTTGGCCAGTTGCTCAAAATTCGCACAGTGTTTGGGCACCTTTACAATGGATGCTGCTTCTTAAAGTGATACTATGTATAATAACACAACAAAGATAAGGGCTTTAAGGCTGGGTTCACACATAGGCGTATCGAATATGCGCGTTTGTCGCGCGTTTTGTGCCGCGGGTTTTTACCGCGATTCACGGTAAAAAAAACGCGCAACAAAAGCGGGTTTCCGAGGGCTACCTGGCTGTAAAGCGCCCAGGTGGGAATCATGCCCTTAGGCAATCATTGGTTTTCACATGTTGAGCGTTTTACAGAGCGTAGGAACGCGCTGTAAAACGCCCAGGTATGAACCAGGCCTTAAGGTATCATAAACACCACTGATATAGCACATAATAAGTATAAGATTTCATCTTTATTTTATACAAACATATAAAAGAAAAATTGATTGTGCATAATAAAACACTTAAAATAGTGAAACAGTGACCCTTCCTTCATCAAGACCTCCCTTATACTCCACTCCATCCGCTTCACCGCAACCCGACGATTACAAGCGAATGCTCACCCAGCCTTAGGTGAGTACATCACCAATGCTTACACCCTGCTCTACCACATTTATTGCACCAGGTAGTGGCGCTTCCGTCTCCAATTTTTTGATATTTGGTATGTATAGCCCCTCCATTCAGCAGTGCAATGGTTCAGCAGTTCCTGATCTTTTCAGGAACAATGGATGACTGAATATCTATTTCTGGACTTAAGACTGCCTTTATTATTCATTTTTTCCCCAACAATAAGTATCAATCACAGGGGCCCCAACAAGTGTCAGGGATCGTAACTGTCCATTCGTAATTCAGTCGGATTTGTAATTCGGACGAATTTCCGAAATTTGGGGTTTTGCGCGAACAGACGAATGTTCGTACGCACGTACTTAGCAGAATTGGCACAGTTGACATTTCTGGTTGCTGTGCTCTAGTCTTCACTATTAAAGGGACATTAAAATCCCCTCCTTAAAGGAGAATTATGAGGCGAGTGCTTTTCACTCACCTCATAGTTCTAGCCGACCTGTGACAATGAGACTGTCACAGGTCGGCTCAGTAGATCGAGAAGTGAGCGAACACATACCGGCGTTCGCTCACCTCTCGATCCTGTCACGGCACTCTGCCGTGACAGGGGAGGGGCTGGATTCCCCCTCCCCGCTCCGATCCGCCAGTGCTGACTGGCGGAACAAAAGGGGAGGGGGCGGGTACAGCTGGCTCTGCGTGCCTGTCAGTCACGCAGCTGGGCGGATCCAGGCACAATTGTTTGGATCCGCTTCAGCTGCGGCGTCTCAGTATACCGCGAGCAGCAGCTCGCTCAGTATACCGTGAGCTACAGCTCGCGGTATACTGAGCCTAGGGTGACGGGAGGACGCTAGTTTGTGTCCTCCCGTTACCTTAAGGAGAACTATGGGGAAAAGCCTTAACCCCATAGTTCTCCTTTAATTTTTTTTATCCGTTTAAACGTTGACGGTGCATGCAGAGGAACATGAAGTAATATTTTGCTTTTATCTTCACATGCTATGAAATCCTCTTTTTGAAATCATTATCGTAAATTTCTAATTTAGTTTCTGTTAGGACGAAATTCGTACTGAATTTCGAAATTCCGAATCCGAAATTTCGGATCTGGAATTTCGGATTCGGATGCTTTTGGATGAATTCGGACATGGTACATTTCGGAAATTCGGATGCTCCGAATCCACGAATTTCCGACATTTCGTCCGAATTTCGAATCGGGACTAAACGAATCGCACATGTCTACTGAAAACAAACTTTTGTGAACAAAATTCTACTGGTGAGTTGCACATGCGTTGCAGCACATCATAGCGCACTGCGGAAAAAATGTTATGACCGACAATAATTGGGAACGTTTTTTTTTCAACAGAATCCTATTGATTTTATTGAGCTGCACACAAAGGTACTGTAAATGAGTTACAACACATGGCAATGCATCATAGTACGTTGCAGCAAAAATGTTGTGATGTGTCCGATAATTGGGATGTTTTTGTGATCAAGAAGCGCAGGGATGTAGCTACCATGGGGCGAATGAGGCACTCGCCTGGCTGCACCCCCTTGCCATGGCGAGCACAGGGCACCATTGGCAACAGTGGCGCCAGGTGGCCAACACAGCCGCGGCTCACAGGGAGAAGAGGAGCTGCACAGGCTCCTGCTTCTCCTCTGATCCCCGCTGCTCTTCTCCACCTGTATCTGCAGAGGACTCTGTGTCCTCAATCTCTTTTTCTATTTCAAAATGGAAATGTCAGGGGTCTGTTTAGACCCCCCCCCCACACACACACACTCACTCACACATATTACTAGACATGTGCAAAGACTAAAAATGTACTTCGGACAAAATGAACGGAAACTAAAAATGTTTTCATTAGTTTCATCAAACAAAACACATTTTTACGCTAGATTGGATTTGGCCACCAGCGCATTCGGCGCATATGCGCCGCCAACCTGGAAGCGGGGGGCATGACGCACAATTTTCTGTTCTTGACTTGGGCGCAAAAGAAGCTAGCTACGGCTCTGAAGAAGCGTATTGACTGATTGCGAAAAGATAAATGTGAGGTTTCCAGTATAGAAGTGCTGGAGTCAGACGTCAGGATCCTCTAG